ACTTGGTCTCTCGCACTAAGGAAGGAACACAGACTGAGGGCGCTTGAGAACAGGGTGCTGAGAAGAATATTTTGGCCGAATAGGGATGAAATGACGGTAGGTTGGAGAAAACTGCATAATGAGGAGCTTCATAAAGCAGGATGAGACGGGCCTAGAATGTAGCATGCATGGGGACAAGATGAATGCATACAGGATTTTGGTTTGAAAGCCAGAAAGAAAGAGACCACCAGGAAGAACTAGACGTAGATGGGAGGATAATATTAAGATGGATATTAGAGAGATAGGATGGGGTGGAATTGACTGGATTAATCTAGTTCAGGATAGGGACACGTGAAGGGCTCTTGTGAACACGGTAATGAACATTCGGGTTCCATAAAATGCTGGGGAATTCTTGAGTAGTTGCGCAATTGGAAGCTTCTCGCGAAAGGCTCGGCTCCATGGAATTAGTTAGTTAGTTAGTTAGTTAGTTAGTTGGGTTTGAAGTAAAGTTTACTGTGACTTGTTTAATACGTGAAATCACAGTTTCCCCGGGTTTCCGTTCTTTGACTATTACCCTGCAAGGAACTGCATACACACAGCAGGACATCACGCATTAACGTGTGACCGAAGTAACTTCAAAACCGCACTACTGCGCTGTTCGCTACCTCGGCACTGCTAACCGTAGAAGTGTATGTGTAAAAACAAAACCCATAGGTCTTTAGACATTTATTTCTGAAAACGTAACAAAAAGCCTAACTTTCTGGACTCGCTGTTGGAAGCAAATTTTTACAAACAAACTTCTGAAGCTGCCAGCGCTATGCCGGCAGGCAACATGGCTGTTACTTTGAAATTACTTGGGTCACCTGCCAATATGAAAACCCACGCCTTCCCATAATTATAAATACAGGTAAAGTTGTCCCTGTACTTAACTAATTAAGCATTATGCCATGAAAACTTATGGGGGAGTGGGTGTATAGGGCCACGTATTCTTGACCTCGGCACTGGCTGGAGGTGAGTGGTCCTTCACGCCTCGGTCGCTTTACCCCCGAAAAAACGGCCCCCGGTACCCATTGGATAAGCGGCCTCCGTAGTCTAGAGGTGACGTTCCCACCTCATGACTCGAGGGAACAAGTCCTGCGGGAGGGACATTAAGCCGTGTGTCCCGTGTCGTAGCTTTACGGCACGTAAAAGAACGTCATATCTCCAAAGGAGGTCACTGAGCCAAATTCAAGGACGTTTCCCGCCCAACAAGTAGTCTCTAACACCTCCGATAGATGGGGGAAGCATTATAGATACCGCCAAGCTAGTGGAGGCCGAAGTCGCTGCCTCGGTCGGGACTGATGGTACGCACCAATATCGGTAGGATATAGAGACTGGTAGAATATCATAGAGGGAAGCACAATGGACCAATACTGGTCTAAGTGCATGGGGAAACCCACCCTCTCTAATAACTAACTAACTAACTAACCCATTGGATATGAGACTACGTGGGTCCCAGTGCCGGTCTGGACGACGTGGAGGAGAAAAGCCTTGCCCCTTGCCTCGAACTCCGACCATCGACCGTCCAGCCCGGAGCTAGCCGCTATAGCGACTGCGTTATCCCGGTTCACCCATAGTTACACAACGTGGAGGTAAGTTTTGAAGTTACTTGGTTCACCCATTAATATGTAAGCATTATGCAATTTACTCGACGCAGTGCCGAAGCGAAGTAGCGTCCTGGCGACCGAGGTCGTAAAATGTTACGACGTCCTATGTATCCAGACTGTATAGCTCCTAATCGTAGTATTACTGGAATCTGCCTGCAGGGACTGAGGAAAACCATGAAATACCTCAGTCTGACCAGCGATTCGAATCGAATATCTAGAACTTTCTCGTTAGACCAAAATGTTCGGTAGAAGCTTTCAGTTTATTTTAAAGACATGTTACTTATTCAAATATTCTGTAAAATTAAAAGTCGCCATTAGGGAATGTACCCTCGGATCCCGCTGAAAACCTTCA